ATCTAAGTAACATATCGTCTTTCTTTTTAGCAGCTGATGTACCATCAGAAAAAGACCTTAACAAAATCCTTCAGCTTTTGGAACCTCAAATCTCCTTTTTAGAAGATCTAACTAAAATGGGAGGAGCAATGAGGTCTGTTCTTACTCAGGTTTTAACAAACCAACAGAACTACAAAGATCTGACTTCTGGTGAGTAAAATATTAAAAGAAAGTTACAATTATTTGCTGTAATAAAAAATGGGGTATTAGAACTTAAAAGTAAAATGTACATTTTCACAAACTTTTACAGCTTGAAATGATGGAAACTCCTTATAGGTAAGGAAACTGAGCTCTAGAAAAATTACATGACCTTTTAAGAACTTCTCAGCTAATTATGTTAGAGTATTTATGTCTCCTAATTTTTTGGTATGATACAGTCGTACTCTGCCTGTTAATTTCTACACAATAGCAGTGGTCATTTTTTGTCTGTTTTTTGGCACTCTAAACTTTTAGATTATATATGGTCTAGGACTTTATAGTAATACGAAGTTCAAAATTTAAAACTTGGAATTGTGCCTTGACAACCATTGTATAAAATAGCTTTAACACCTTTAGTTTGTGTAAATGCTGGGATAATACATATGTCAATTACTTAAAAATATTAAAAAAATATATTTTAAAATATATAAATATTTTAAACTTTTTTTCTTACTGATTCATGTCCTGCATATTTTGCAATGAAGTTCATCCTGCTTCTTTAGGGTGGTAAATTTTCATGTTTATTGTTTTCCTTTAGTTAGTCTTGTCTGTTATATTTATTTCTTCAACAAATTCTTTTTTTCCAACCTCTGGGCTAGGGATCAAATTCAGGGGCAAGCACGTACTCTACCCTTGAGTTACATTACCAACCTGTGGTTTTTTGAGACCATATTGTGCTTTGCAGCTTAGGCTGGCCTGGAACATGTTATGTAGTCTAAGCTGGCCTTGAGTTCTCATTCTCTCTGCTTGCCCCTTCAGTGCTGGGATTACAGCCCTGCCCCACCATCCCTGGCTATCTTCAGCCACTTTTTTTTCAAGTTAATTTTTTGACATTTATTTATTGTTTGTGTTTGTATGTATACATGTGTATGGAAGTTAGAGGACAACTTGAGGGAGTCTGATTCCTTCTATCAGGTGGGTTCTGAGAACTGAACTCGGGTCACCAGGCTTGGGGGCAAGTACCTTTACTCACTGAGCCATCTCATGAGACTAGAACACTTGATGTCACTGGTATAGGCTAGGGAGGTGGTAATATTTTATTAAGGAGGGAATATTTATTTAAAATAGTATACCTCTAACAATTGTGAAGAAATCATTAGCTAGACAGTATAGGGAATTGGATGATAAAGGATTTAGATTACAGGCAGAAGATGTTCTAGCATTTATGTCATAAACAACATATAACTGGATAAAAGCAACTGCTTTCAAGTATTGGATAACAAGTAATACAACACTGTGAACTCTTGGGAAAAGGAAAAGTGTGAGATGAGCTCTATGATTGCTCTGAGAAATGTCCTGATTATAGGCATGTTGGCATTCAAGTAGATTATAGTGGGCCTGCTGAATTGAGAATGCACTGATCATAGTATAGGACAGCAGAAACTGTTGGAAACTGGAATTTTTTTGCATGCTATGCCAAAGTGTGGTGGGGAAGACTTATGGGGAACCACTAAAAGTGTTTAACTGAAGAGTTGCTTATATATATCCAGTATGAGACTACCTAAGGCTTGCTAACAATTATCTGTTATGGCGTAAATGTGGATTAGATACTAGTGGGCAAGCAGTGTTGGAAAATGTTTTAGTTGAACCAGATGAGCGACCTCACTATTTCCCTAGGCACTTAGGTGAGATACTAGAAGGCCAAACCTTGAAGTAAGGTCAACTCTAGGTTAGCCTTAAGAGAGTTCATAATTGGAAGCTGTTGAAATAGCTTAGCTGCTTAAGAGCTCAGAGTATAAAATTCAGTTCCCAACACCCATGTCAGGTGGCTCACAACTACTTGTAATTCCAGCTTCAGGAAATTTGGGGCCTTATTCTGGCCTCCAAGAGTGCTGCACTCAGGTGTACAACCCACACATGTACATATAAGGAAAACAAAAAATGAATTAAAAATAAAGGTAAGATCATAATCTAGGGCTGTCAAGATGACTCAGCCAGTAAAAGTGCTTGCCACACAAGCCTGATACACACACACACACACACACACACACACACACACACACACACACACACACACACACACAAATAACAAAAAGAAAGCCCATAACTTGTAATAGAACCTTCATGGAAGGCAGAATGTGGAGGTTCCTTTCAGGAACTCTTTCAGGGCTCTTTGAGTACATTGAGCCCCTTACAAAGTATAAAACCACGCCTTCCTGACCAGTTCTTTTTTTCTCCCCTTGCTGGCTCAAGGTGTTCATTTTGTGGTTGAACTGTCTTCTAGAACAAAATTTAGTACTCCTTTTTTTTTTTTATCTTTTTGAGACAGGGTCTCCCTGTAGCTCCAGCTGTCCTGGAACTCACTATGTACACCAGGCTGGCCTTGAACTCACAGAGATCCGCCTGCCTCTGCCTCCCACGTGCTGGGATTACAGGTGTGCGCCACCACACCAGGCCCAGTACTCCTTTTTTTTAAAAAAGTTTTTATGTATTTTTATTTTATGTGTATGCGTGTGTTGCCTGCATGTAGGTAAGGGCACCCGTGTTGTGCAATGCCCACGGAGGTCAGAAGAGGCTGTCAGATCCCCTGGAACTGGAGTTATGGACAGTTGTTAGCTGCCATGTGGGTGCTGGGATTCAAACTGGGGTCTTCTGCAAGAACAACCAGTGTTCTTAACTACTGAGCCATCTCTCCAGCCCCAAAATTTAGTACTTTAAAAAAATTTTTTTTGGTTTCTTTTTTGAGATATGGCCTTCCTATAGCCCCAGCTGACCTGGAACTCTAGACCAGGCTACCTTGATCTCACAGAGATCTGCCTGTGTCTGGTTCCCGAGTGCTGGGATTAAAGGCAACACACTACTGTGCCCAGCTAAAAATTTTCTGGTTGATTTATTATTTTATGTGTATGAGTGTTTTGCCTGCACGTATGTAAGTACACCATGTGTGTGCAGTGCTCACAGAGGCCAGAAGAGGGAGTTAGATTCCCTTGAACTCAAATTGTGGATGGTTGTTAGCTTACTGTGCAGACAACTGAACCCAGTCCTCTGTAAGAGAGGCCGATGTTCTTGTTGAGCCATCTCTCCAGCCCCCAAATTTACTTCTCTCTAATTAGAAGAAGGAAACAGGATGTAGAAATCTTCTATAATGTGTTATTAGACTATCTAGTATGCAGTAAAAACTAGTGAGCATGCCAGAAAACAAGAATCTGTATGTTAGAATCAAAGAAAAAAAAAAAGAGTCATTGGAAATTGACTTTAAGATGATGGCCCAGCTGTTGCGTTTAACAGATAAAGACATTAAAACCTTTATTGTACTTTTGTTTTCCCCTCTAAACCCAAACAAAGGAAGACATGTTCAAAGGATTAAAGGAAAACATGGTGTCAATGAATGTAGAATAAAGGAGTCTTAAAAAAGAAATATAAACAAAGAGCCAAAGTGAAATTTTAGAACTGAAAGTTATTGTAAAGTGCAATGATGGAATTGAAAAATCCACTGAATTGTTTTGCAATAGATTGGCTTGTGTGAAGAGACCATGATTTTGAAGACAGATCAATAGATTATTGACATGGAGAGCAGCACGAAAAATGACTGAACAAAATGTTTCAGTCTCAGGGACCTATTAGAATCAAATCATCTAGCATGCATGTTACCTGGGTCCTGAAACACTTGAAGAATTTGACCGAGTTTCTCCAAATTGGATGAAAACATTGATTAATAGGTACAAGATACTTCATGAACCCTAACCAAGACAGACACAAAGAAATAACACCTATGCACCTTCTAGATACCAGGTAGAGAGACTGCCAACTGGGAATATTTATGAATGACAATGAACTTAATTCTTTCTAGAGACTAAAAAGGCCTGAGTGGTAGGAACTAAACATTTACAGGGATAGTGACCTAAATAAAGCTACCATACCAAGGTAGATCAAGATGATGCAGATGCTCATGGGCTATGTATATTTTTGCGTTCATTCTGAGTATAGTGAGAAGTAATATAAATTTTTTTTCCCCCAGAGTTGAGGACCGAACCCAGGACTCTGCACTTGCTAGGCAAGTGCTCTACCACTGAGCTAAATCCCCAACCCCCCCCCCTTTTTTTATATAAATATTTTAACCTGAAGAGTAAGATAACGCCAGGTGTGGTGGTGCACACCTTTGATCCCAGCCAGCACTTAGAAGGCAGAGGCAGGCCTGATCAGCTCTGAGTTCAAGGCCAGCCTGGTCTACATAGGCAGTTCAAGATCAGTCTGGTCTACATAGTGAGTTCAAGGCCAACTGGGACTATAGGGAGACCCTGTTTCAAAAAAAAAAAAAGATAATCAGATAATGTGTTTTAAAAAGGTGACTTTTCATTTGGGAGGCAGAGGCAGGCAAATCTCTGTGAGTTCAAGGCCAGCCTGGTCTACATAGTGAGTTC